CAGATGCCTCCAAAGGAATGAATGAATGAATGAGTGAATGGGTGATGAGTGAGTGAGTGAATGACTGACTGGGTAAATGAACGAGTGGATGGGTAAGTGAATGAGTGAACCAATGAGTGAGTGAATGGAGAGTGAGGTGGAAAAGAACCCAGGCTCTGGGGTCAGGCACCTTGGGGTTGGAGGTCCCCCTCTGTTGCTGTCAGGCAGGGTGGTCCTTTGCATGGTTCCTCCCACACCCTAGCAGACCCCAGTTCTTACTTCCTGCCCTCAAAGTTATCTCAGAGTGGAGCATTCTTCCATCTGGCAGAAGAGAAGACGAGGCCCAGGCCTGTGGACAGAGAACACAGACTTACAGAACCTTGGAGTCAAATAGGACTTCATCAGAAACCACCAAAGCTGATGCTTTTGTTGTGCATATGGGGAAACTGAGGCACAGTCCATTCAAGAAACCATGGTGAGTCTGGGCCCAGCCCAGGGCTACTCTCCAGGCCTCCAGGGGAGGGCACCAGATGGGATGAGAGGCTACTTTCCCCCTCTGCATCTGCCCCCGACCCTGGGCTCCAGCAGGGCTGCTGCTGAGCCTGAAACTGTCAGGAGGGATCAGCAGGCACTGGCCGATCTCCCCAGATTTAATTAATGGGCCTTTCATCTCTGTCCTGGAGGAATCAGCTATCTTCTGTCTCCTTAATTAGCGTTCATTAAGCAAATCAGAACAACAGGGACTTTCTCCCTTCCTCCTTGCTGGAAGGTTTTAACCCTTGGTAGTGGGCTTCAGGGAGGGGAGCCCAAGCAGAACAGGGTACTGTGCAGGCACAGGACCTAATGCATACACAGGCCTTATACACCCACCTACCTGCTGCCTCCCTGTGGCTCCTGCACTCCACCCCAGCCATCCTCCTAAAGAAAGCAGGTGCTGTACTCTGTCACTGCTAGGGGCAGGCCTGCACCTAGACCCAGACTCTGGCCTGCCTTATTTCTGTCCCTCCCCAGGCCAACTTCATCTCCCTTACTCCTCCTCCTTTTTCCCCCCCCGCCTTGGGATGCAGGGCAGTTGCTTTCCCAGTCCAGCAGGAGGCCCCTCCACACTGCTCCCCAAGGGGCCTCCCACTCAGAGTTCCTTCTGGGTGGAGACCCAGGAGTCCTAGCCAGGGGGCAAGGCCAGCAACTACAGGACTCTTACTGACTCGGGGAACTGGTACCAGGATAGCCCTTGCACAGGTGTGTGGGCCCAGGTCTTTTACTCTGCAGAGAGGGACACAAGGTTTGCCTCTCAGAGGTCAGGACAGGGAATGGGGGCTGGAGTCAGAGCAGGCTGGAGGGAAACTGAGGCCATGTAGCCCATGGGTCTGTGGGTTTCAGGTCACATGTGTTGGGAGGGCCCTGGATCAGGGAACAGATGCCTGGCTGGGGTGGTGAGTCCTACTGGAGGGTGACTCTCAGCTTCTCCTTGTGACAGAGAGGTGTCAGCATCTATCTCATGGTCCAGCATCCCATATGCAATAGCCTGAATTGCCTGGCACATGCTGGGCCCTTTCCAGGTGTTATCAGCGTTCAAATTGTCCGTTTGTCTCCCATATTTGGGGAGTCATCCTGAGACTCTGAGGATGCACAGAACTCCTATGCCTTGGGGGGTACACTTTGGTTCCTGGATTCTGTAGACCCTAGCCCCTCCCTGAACCCCTCCTAGGAGGAGCCCCCACATGGTTAAGAGGGAGCCACTCACATGCTGCTGTGAACATGTCCTCAACAGACCACTTCCCCTCTTGGGAACCTCAGTTTCCCCATTCATACAGCTTTACCCTGGACCCACTGACTGACTATAAGGGAGACCTTAGCCACTAAGTTCTTAGGGAGGGAGGGAGGGAGAAAAGCCACATACTTCCCACTCAGCACCATTCCTAGTAAGATTCTGAGGCCCCAGCACCATCTGCACCATAGAGGCCTTCCCTGGGCCAGGTGTGTGTGGACAAAGATGGGATCTCTCCAGGACCAGCGGTGTGTGTGGGAGCGGGAATCTGTTCCAGGCAGCAGGGTGGCAGGTGGCAGGTGGCAGTTGGAGCCCTGGCTCTCCTCCTGGTTCTGCCCTCCACCCCGTGTGGTCTTGAAAGTTGCTCCTAGTTCTGACCTCTCTCCAGACTCCCCATCAACCCAGTTGCATATGCCCAGGTTGGGGAAAAGGCTGACGGGTAGCAGGGTGGCAGAGGCCTGGACTGGCTCCCCAGCCCCAAGCTGTTGCTCCTGCAGAGCCCTAGGGGAAGGCGAGACAGCTTTGAAGCCAGTCCCAGGTTGGCCTTCCCCAGTGAGTGCTGGCCAGCACTTCTGCAGTAGCTCAGTGACACCAGGAGGTGTCCTTGGCCACCAGGGGGCAAGAGAGGCCAGTTCCCATACTGTAGCCAATGTTGCCACCTGGTGGCTGATCACAGTGGGATCCAGAACAACTGCCCCTTGTGAGTCAGGAAGAAACCAGGGAGGAAGGGGGAGTGTGCGGAAGACCTCTGCAGACCTCCACCCAGGCAGATGGCCCTTCTGGAGTACTAGGCAAAGGCTGTGAGTACCTAGCTGGATCAGCCTTCCTCAGCCGTGGGGCTCTGTTTATTTGGGATACTAGGGTGAGATACTTGTGGTCCTTGACTTCATGAGCCCCCAACCTGCAGCTCTCCCACAGGATGAAGCCCAGCTCATGTCATGGAGCTGCCACCATGCTGCAGATATAAAGCCCGGGACCCACTCCCCACGGAAGCAATGCATACAGACTCGCTCACTCTCTCACACCTCGGGCCTTGGCAGGTGCTACAACCCCTACTCATCCTTTACAACCCAGCTTAAATGCCATGTCTTCTGGGAAGCCCCCTCCAACTCCACAAAACTGGACTCCACCCGGCCCCCACCTCCGTAACCTGCTGTCACCTCCCAGAAGCCTGCTCACCTCTGAGACAGGACTGAGACCTCTGTGCCTTGCCCTGGCACAGGAAGAGTATATGTTGGGTGAAAGGACATGTTTGCTGCAGAATACATGACTGCAAACATATGGCCAGAGCCACGTAACAAGTAGGAACAAGCCTTGGGACATCGCCAGGCTGTTTCTTAGCGAGCACTTCCCCTCTCCATCCAGGCTGTGGGCTCGAGACAGAGGGCAGGATCTCGTCTTAATTGTAGTGACCATTTATCAAGCACTCACTCCACCCTGGCCTCTGGGTCAAGCACTTGCTGATGTGTAGGTATTTCCAGCAGGAAGGACTGAATGCAGGGTATTACATGCTCAGAGGAAAAGTTGGAAGGACTGGAGGAATTGCCATGTAAGACTCACAAGGGAAGCTGCCACCACTATGACACTTCCATGTCTATTAGCTCTGAGATTTCCCTTCTGATGCAATCCAGGGGCCAGAAATAAAAGTCAGGAAGTCACTGCTACTGCTGCTGCCACACAGAGGCCCCTCAACACACGCCAGAGAAGGGGAAGCATGTGGGGGCAGAAACCTCCCTTCTCTGCAGCTCTCATGCACCAAAAGACCCAGCTGGAAGGGCAGGAGATGCCCCCCACTCACTGCTGCCTTCTGAACCTCCAGCAAGGACAGACATCCTGGACCCTGGCTGCAGCCTCTGTAGCACGGGGTGATGCAGCAGCAGGCTGGGACAAAGGCTGTGGTCTCACCTTAGACATACAGGCCATGGAGATGAGGTCTGAATCCAGATCTGTCTGACTCCAAAGGCCGTGTGGCTAATGGCTTCTGTGTCACACAGCATGGGCCCCTCTCCTGCTCATGCAAGCAAATCAATAAAAACCTCATAGATTAACCTGAGAAGACGGCCAATTAATTCACTCAAGCAGAGTCCTTGATTGAGAATTATTAGGGGTTCAGGGAGGGGGATCTTGCTTTACCCTGGAGCTGGAGAGGAAGGACACCGAGGAAGGCCTCCTCAGCCCATCTCCTCTCACATCACAGTCCCAGCTGACCCTTCCCAAAGGTCCAGCCATATGTCCTCCTGCCTGTCTGACTCTTTAGTCCTGCTGCTCAGTTACTGAGCTGCTCCTCACTGCTCATGTGTTCCTGCACATCTTTCCCTGGTGCACAAACGCTGCCTGTTGGGAGCACCATCCCTAAAGACACCTGCAGAGGCAGTAGAAGGACAGCAGTGATCCCTTTTGGTCCTGTGATTGCTCATGGAGCAGACTCACCCATGAACCAAGCTTGGCTCTTTCCTCAAGCTATTCATAGGAACCCCTAGGTGTGAGGAGGAAGAGGACTCAGAGCTGGGACCGCACAAGGGTCTGTTGCAATGGTTCATGCAGCTCACTGTGCACTCTGGCCAATACTTACTGACCCATAGCCTACTTCTTCCATGCCTGCTCCACCTGAGAATTCTGGGTCTAAAAGTGCCAGCTCTGGATGCCAGACCCGGCCATCTGGTCATTTGGTTTCTGTGGATTATTACTCAGTCTGTACCAGGCACAGAAGGCAGGGTTTCTTTGTGAATTGCAAAATTCACCTCACCTTGTGGGGGAGGTGGGGCAGAGAAGGCTTCTCCAAGGTGGTATTTGTGATTCGAATCCTTGGGTACAATCTCTTTGCTTTGGGAACACTTGTTAGGGCTACTAGAGATGTGGGGCTGTGAGCATCCATCTTATCAACCTGCCTCGGATGAGCTCTGCAAAGGGTGAAGAACAGAAGGTTGATGTGCCCCCTTTTATCTCTGGGCTGCAAAGGCAGAAAGACACCGGGACGCATTTTCTGTTGAAACATCCCAACCAGCTCTGTTTACAGCTGAGGACACTGAGTAAGGCCCGTCATGGGGTCCCCGCCCAGCCAGAACAAGACACTGCCGGCCACGTCCACCAGGTGGGGGTGAGCGCGAAGGGACGGCGTGGTCGGGACAGTGGGGGTGCTGCCGGTACTTCTCCCTCCCTCCAGCCGTCCCAGCCCCGCTGCGGTCCCGCCCGCTGGGGAAGGCGGTCCCAGCTGCCGGCGCGGGTCCGCACCCATCAGAGCCGAGCAGAGCGGGACGCGCACAGCCGCGAGCGCTCGGTGTCGGTGCGCTTGACCATGGCGTTGGCCGCGCTCCTGCTGGGCCTGGCGCTCGTGGCGCGGCGGGCGGAGGGCGCGGGCATGGGCGCGTGCTACGACGGCGCGGGGCGGCCGCAGCGCTGCCTGCCCGAGTTCGAGAACGCGGCGTTCGGCCGGCGCGCAGAGGCCTCGCACACGTGCGGCAGCCCGCCCGAGGACTTCTGCCCGCACGTGGGCGCGCCCGGCGCCGGGGCGCAGTGCCAGCGCTGCGACGCCAACCACCCCGCGCTGCACCACAACGCCTCCTACCTCACCGACTTCCACAGCCAGGACGAGAGCACCTGGTGGCAGAGTCCATCCATGGCCTTCGGTGTGCAGTACCCCACCTCGGTCAACATCACCCTGCGCCTGGGTAAGCACCGCTATGGCCCGCCCCAGTATGGCCCGCCCCAGTGTCCCCGGTGCTCATTCCATCAAGGGTTCAAGGCAGAGGAGGAGGGCTGTGCAGACTGGATGTAGGAACCAGATACAGGAGACTCAGCAGCAAGATCTTTGTCCCTCTGTAGTGGGAAGGATAGACTGAGGGGCACCCCTTGAGGCTGCGGGAGCAGGAAGTCCCTTGAGTAGTCTGGAGAGCCATGGATCTGGGTGCAATGACAGCCTTCCGAAATGGGTTTGCATCCTAGAGCCAGGACTGGTTGGAAGGGAGAGTTGACACCCCAGCAGTGAACTAGTCTACTTCTGGGGTCTTCCTAATCCGGGGTCTTCTGGTCAGCTTCAGGAACTCAGTGTACATCCCCGCTTCCCTTAGGATAGGAGCCAGGGCCATCAGCATCAAACTGGAACAGTTTAGCTCTCTGGGCAGGAGCACCTGGCTTCGTTAGCTGGACCCAACCTTGCATAGCCTCCCCTACCTTGCCCATGATTCCAGTCACCTATCCCCTGGGCCAAAGTGTAGGAGCCCTTGGGTCTGGTGAATCAAAAATCTGCCTCCACCCAGCCCTTCCCCCACTCCTGGGAACTGGAATGCTCCCTCCCGGCTCCAAGTCCTTCTTGGGCCCCTTCTATGTGCGGGATACCATGCAAGGTTCCTGTCTCTTTTCTTCAACACCAAAATCCTCCAAAGTTTTGACAACTCAAGAGTATTTTTAAAACTCATTTTGGCTGCTAAACCTTACCTCAAGCTATTTATAGACCCTGTTTATCCTAGTGAGAGGGAATATACTGCATTTTGCTACTGAAATCTCGTTTGAGTACAGCCTGCAGCCCCAGAAACAATGATATAAGGTCTGTGTCATCTTTCTAAACTTTGAGTTCTGAATTCCAAAATGCCTCTACAGCCAGTGAGCTTGGATAAGGGATGGTGGAACTGTATCTGCATTTTTCAGATGAAAAAATGTGGAGCTCAGAGTGGTTAAGTGTTTTGCTCAGTGACACACAGCTGCTAAGCGACAGTCTGGATGTGAACATCTGTGTTCACTGGAAGTCAGAGCATAAACTTGACATGAGTCCTAGTACTCACAACTGAGCTGGCTCTTCCTAGGCCAGGTTGGGAGAGCTCTGGGGAGGGCTGGGAAATGGTCTTGGAGATGGGCAGTGGGGAGGATAGTGAACCCCCCTCAGCAGAGTGAGCAGGTGCTCAGTTCCCAGGGCCCACGTCACCTTCTCCTGGCCTATCTGGACCACTAGGTGAGGCTTCTGAAAGGGGGCAGGTGATTGACCAGGCAGGAAGCCAATGAAGCTGGCCAGCAAGGGCTGGCAGGACCCCAAGGCCACAGGGGAAAGAATCTAGTGCAGGATGGAAGACTGTGGGGGAGACAGTGTTCCATGGCAAAGGGTGTCACCTGTGTCATGGAATCCAGACGCCTCTAAGGAGAGGACTCAACCTCAGGCACAAATGAGAGGAGAGCTGGGCAGGGAAGCACCCAAGCCTTTGGACTGGCAGTTCTGGGTTCCTGAGCACTGACCATATGCAGGGCCTGTGCGTGCTCTGAGCGGCCGGATGAACACTACTTGGAACCCTTAGACACAGGCTGGTTCTGGTCCTCCTGTAAGCAAGGAAGTGGGGCTCAGAAAGACCACACTGTGGGTGTGCACCAAAGACATCACACGAGCACACGAGCATGCACCCAGGCGTGTGCTACCCCTGGCCAGCACTCTTCCTATGGTGTACAGGAGCAGGCACATAGGAGCGGGCTGGAAGTGTTTTACAGTGAGCAGTGAATGAATGAATGAGTGAGTGAGTGAGTGAATGGCAGCATCACATCCTGGACACTGAGCCAACTCAGGCTTCTCTTTTGCCTGCTCTGAGAGGCAGAATAGTGTGGAAATCACAAAATGGGGTTTCAGATTCTGGACCCACTCAGCCAACCTCTGGTCAGGTTACCACTCTACCTCAGTTTCCTGGTCTGTACAATGGGAATCAGAGTTGTCACCTCCAGGGATGGCAATGCTGGTCCCAAGTGGACTGTGACACCCTTGTGTGTGAGCAGTGAACAGCCTCAGTCGCCGAGGATGGCTTGGGGCTGGGGCTTCCTCTGGGCTGGCTCTGCTACAGGGGAAGAGAAAAAGCTGGTCCCAGCTCCCAAAAGATGTCCTGACCCTGGCTGGGCCCTGGTTACACACAAGGGGGACTGGGAGCCCATGGCAGGCCCAGGTTGGCTGCAGACTAAGCCATGGATTGGGGGAAGGAGAGCTCTGGGGGCTTGGGGTCCCCTATTAGCTGAGGTGGGCTAGGGATCCTCCCCTCAGTCCTTGGGCCACCTCTGCATGCTGAGCACCTACTCTGCTCCTCCTTGTAGGGGAGAGTGGGCAGCAGGTCTGGCCCGGGAGGGAGTGGAGTGAGGGGCAGGAAAAGGAGAGGCCGCCCGCCAGTCTGGGATGGAGGTCGCTACTTTCCCAGCCCCCTGGGGCTCTCGACATCTGTTCCAGATCCTGTAGCCTTCCTGTCTGGGATGAAAGGCCTGAAAGGCCGAGGCGGATCTGACAGCTTGCAGCCCTCCGCTGAGGCCCAGAAAAGCCAGCAAGGCTGGGGCCTGGTGGCGGGTGAGGAGAGTGGGGTGGTGGATGGTCACTGGTTATCTGAGTGACACACCATTCAGGGATGATAGCTATTCACTGTTTATGTGTCAAGATTTCACTGGGTCAGCATCTCAATGTGGCAGGGTTTGTTCTTTTACACATGGGTAAACTGAGGCTCTAAGGATGCCAATCAATGGCAGACCTCATGAGGGAGCTCTTCCAAATTGGATTCATGTAGAAATGAGAGCATCCAGGTGAGGCTGGCCCAGTGCTGGCTTTGAACCTTGATCCTCCTGATCTCTGCCTCCTATGTAGCTAGGATTACAGGCATGAAGCACCATGCTTTCACCCCTTGATCCTGGGAAGAATTCTGTCCACTGTAGTTCTCAGTGGGGTGAAGGTCTCTCCTTCCTGCTTGCTCTCTCTTGTTTGTTTTTCTTTTGTGTGTGTGTGGTACTGGAATTTGAACTCAGGGCTTCCTGCTTGCTAGGCAGGCGCTCTACCACTTGAGCCACTCCACCAACCCTGCTGCTGTTCTCTTGGACCCCTGGGACCTCAGAAAGATGCTTGGGTTCTCCGGGCAGAGGAATTCTAAGCCCCTGAGCGGAGGGTGAAATTGGAGGACAGGTGTCTACCAACCACTAGCTCAGTCCTAATGGAGTCTCAGCTCTTGGCTGTATGGTACGGTCCTGCCCTGAGGGGCTGAGACCAGCCACAGACAGAATGGATGGAGGAATGGTGTGAACTACTCCAGACTCAACTCAAGACTATGCATTGGGAAGAGTGGTCCAGGCCAAGGGCATGGCTTGGGGCAGACGGGAGGCAGTTCAAGTGTTCTGGGACCCACAAAACCCAGATGGCCCCAGTGGAGGGAATGAGAAGACAATGGGGACCAACCATGGTGAGGAGGCTGGCCCCAGGCTGGTCTGGATGTCAGGGGACTCTGCAGGCTGCTGAGGAGCCTGGGGCCAGCTGGGTCTCCTGAGCCTTGGCTCCATCAGTCTTCCTGTCGAGTGGGCGGCCCTGTTTGCCTTGGCTGGGCCTGGAGCTGGGGGCCAAGTCTTCCTTCCTTCTCCCTGGGGGCTCTGGATGGAATGCTAGGCTCCAGGCAAGTCAAAGGTCAAGGCAGCAGCCCTGGGTAGCCTCCATCCATCCACAGAAGTGACCTCTCCACAGCCCTCGGGGCCCAGCTGGCCTTGTACCTCCCAATACCTCTTGGAGCCTCCCAGAACTGATCAGGAGGAGCAGCGGTGGCCCATCCTAGAGCCAGGGAGGGGCTGCCTCTCCCGGCCTTGGGGTCATCCCTGTCCACTTGACTTCCACTCCAGCTACAGCCACTGCCCTCAGCAGGACCATAAAAGGGCCATGAGTCTCCACTCTGAATTTGTACCAGTCTGCGTGTGCGGCCATTTCCAGCTGCTACTTTCTCTTCTCACCTCTGACAACCCAGGCTCCTTCATGAAACAGCTGGGTGCTGGCCCAGCTGAGCGAGTCCCTGACCAAGCTCCAGGATATGGAGTAAACACACACGTGTCAGCCCCACTCAGCTTAGAGGCGCTCTCCTCCGGGAAGCCTCCACCCTCCAAGGTTGGCAGAGGGCAGCCTGTGCTGTCCTGCAACCTCCACCTCTCCCCCCACCCCAAGGTGGGCCTCTCAGTGTGTCAAGGCTGGGGTTTGCTGCCATCCCCAGCTCCCAGTTGCCAGCTGTTTTCACAGCTGTTCCCCAGTGCCCAGCAAGGGCCCTGCGCAGGCCACTGGGTAAACTCTGACCGGATGAATAAATGGAGTAACAGCTAAAATCCATCTGTGCACATGCACTGTGCCTGCCTGGCACTGTCAGGACTGCTTTGTACGCATTTGCTCAGTGAGCCCTGTTATTGTTATGTCCATTTTGCAAACAGGGAAACTGAGGCACCACGTTCAAGTCGCTTGCCCAGGAAGGGAAGGTCAGGTACTTGGAATAAAATCACAGAGCTGGAAGTGATGGTGCTGGGCTGTGAACCCCAGCATGCTCACTGGGAGCGTGGGAGCAAGGGAGGGGATGCAGTGAGTGAATGTACACTGCCCTCATCCAGCACAGTCCTCTCCCTGTCCTGCCCTGCTCCCACCCACCCAGGCTGCAGCCCTCCAACTCCCTCTCTGGCTCCCTTTCATTCCCGTGCCAGCCCCTCCACCAGGCCTGCCCTCGCCTCACCTCATGCCCCAGCTTCAACCATTGGAATCGTAGTTCACATCTGCTTCCACCTGCTCCTCCCACCTTGGCTCAGTTTCACACATGAGCCCTGGACCAGGTGGTTTAATCAGCTTCCTGAGCATCAGCCAGCTCTTAGACATCATTCAGGGGCCCCATACTTAGGGTCCGAAAGTAAAGACACCTGAGGGGTTCAAAGA